CCGGTTTTCATGTTCTCATTTGAACCACATAAGTCTATTTGACATGACAAAGTTTCGGAGATTTCTCCACCTTTGCTCTGGGCTAGAAGAAGAATGCTATTCTAGTCGCTCTTATACGCGTCAGATATTAGGGAATCTTCTATAATAAATATTCTGCTCTTCATTCGAAGTAAAAAGTCCTCTATTCAGTTAGGGTTGGTTGCTAGCAATAAAAGATTTGTTATGAGTATAGTGTTCGGCTCCATTGGGAGTTCAGAACTTTGTTAATATCAATTCGTTTTACATAGAAAACAGAGCACTTATTTCCTCATGAATAAAACATATACATATGTAGAAAGCAGTTAGTACAATAAAAAACATAAGTAATTATATGTAATTATTATTAATAGTCGTTCGTAAAAATGGTGTCATCATCTATATTTTTACAATATCAATCCTTTAGAGTTACCATTTTTAACTATTTTGCGACTAAAAGTACACCTTTTCCTCAAGCTTTGTATAAATTATGGTAGTTGCAAATTGTTGATAGTATCCTAAATATATTTTTGTACTAATCAATATTAATAAATTTAAAATTTTTTTTTAAATAATTAAAAAAATTAAACTGTTATTGAAATAGAACAAAAATACTAACACTTAGTCACTATTCCATTATAAACATATTTCTATAAAATCATGAACGTCAATGCCTTTATTGGGAAAGTATGCCTAAAGTTTAAGTTTTCAGTATAATATAATATATACGAATATCAATTTTAATTTGCAAATTAGATATAATGCACTTAGAAGTTACTGTGATTGTCTTAATATTTTTTAGAATTTTTTTGTTGTTTATTAAATTAAAGGTTTTTCTCTTCTTAATCCTTCCAGGTGCGCATAAAGTGCACTGCACTGAAGATTTGATGCGTGTTGAAATCGGTCTGCCAGACATCAGTAGCAACAGCAATAATGAGAAGCCACAAATATACCTTGAGGGATTGAAAGGTTATCCAGACGAACGTTGTCAGCCCGAAATAAACGGTTCATTGGCAGAATTTCGGCTTTCGTTAAGCGATTTTTATGAATGTGGCGTAACGCGCATGGTTAATCAATTAACGGTAAGTGCTGGCATGCACTATGGGCGTAGTTGGCCTGTACAAGCAGTTTTAAAATTTTAAAATTTGTTTCCTTTTGGTTTTAGGGTAAAAAAGTTTACTACCACAAAATTATAATTGAAACTGGTAACGGTAAGGAAATCGTCAGTGTTAAATGCATTACCAGCGGTCCAACTTACAACGTACTACTGAACGGCACAACACGAGAACAGCCACGAATCGTGCTGCAGCAGCAGCAGCAACATCATGGAATCGTTAGAAGAGATGTATTGCCTGCTGGATTTCAAGAGCCAGAGTAAATATTACAATGATATTTAAAAAATATTTTTTTACATCTGTTATAACATATCAAAAATAAATCACATCATTACTTATACAAATTGATTGACATCAAAAATGCAAATTTTAAAAGTTAATTGCCTCTGTATATGGTTAGTGTGCTGCAGTACTGTAGTGTGCGTCTAAAGATCACATTGATTCGAGCCATCCAATAACCACATTTGCACAGTAATTGCTAATGAATTTTGTGCTTAAGCATATGCCCAGCACATCAACTGCGTAAACGCAGATAATAAATACTTGTATCTTCGGTACAATAATAATTACTGGTTAGGGACTTCGGTATAATGCAGGCTTATATGTTACTTCCTTTTGATGCAATAATTTCACATTAGTTGGGCGTTGTCCTATTAATTGTGAAGATCATTTGAAGGGAAAAATCAAAGTAGGAAACTACAGTGACTTTGCTACATGTTACATGAAGTTCTTGCTTTACTTATATCATGATATTTAGTATAGATTGATTACATTAATTAAAGACACAACAAGCAACAAATTTACAAATATCATCAAAAAAAACTTAACATAATTAAGTAACAATTTTTATAATTACAGCGACTTAGAAATCACCACTTCATTAACGAATCATGCACCTGAGCCGCGGTTGGCTATTGGAGTGATACAGAATGGAAATAAAGTAAATGGCGATTTAACTATAGTGCCCGGCACTCCTTTGACAATGGAAATTAACTTAGACCGTGAATCAGCGCCAGTTTATGGCTTAGGTGTTAATTACTTGGAAGTAACTGACACTCGCTCCCTATCAGAGACCATAATTTTTAAAGGGTAAGTATTGTGCTAAATGATTTTGTTGTAATATTAAAAAGACAACAAAACTTGAAACATTATTATGCGTCATTCAAACAGTATTAATTAAAAGTTTTGAAAATGTGTATTATGATAAAAAGAATCTGTTCAGTTATATATACCCAACACGGTTACAATGTTATTTTATCATGTAAGAAAGAAAAACGTTGAGATTACCATTATGCAATATGCAGCAATTTGATTCCAGAGCAACAAGATTCACGATATCATAATCTTCTTGACGCTTTGATTTCATTCTTAGCAATGCGAGAATGTCAGTCTTCTTGCAATACGTTTTCTCGGTTTATGAGTGTTCAAATTATATGTATACCTAGACACAGAAGCGCTTTGGGTAATTGTAATGTTGACGGAAAAGTAGCCACACTGCTCTCTAAACTTCACTTCCCGGACAACGGCTAAACTGGCCATCAACCAAAAATTTATAGTGGTAGCTAAAAAAACTCTGGATAAATGAAGATATTTATCAGCTTACGAGGCTTACTTTATCCAATTTAGACAAGAAACTTACTAGTCACACAGCTGCTTTAATTAAAACTAAACCTATTCATCACAACGGTATCGGTACTGACAAATCACTGCGTATTAGGGAGACATGCTATGATGTTTAGGCTACATTTCTCTTAGCTGATACTCATAGTGACTATTGTCTTGGCTATGGCTCTGCAAAAGACGAAGGAAATGTATTTCATCTAACATTTAGTGCCCATCTTTGGCAAGTAGATGGCATAATATCTTTGGGCCCCTTGTATTACTTCCAAATTAGGGACATAATCAATTTTACACATTTGCTGTTGTCTACGTGATCTCTTGCTCTTCCGTTTAAGCAACGGTTTTATTCGTGGTATAACAATTACGGATAAACTCCAAATAGGCTTTGGTGTGCAACGCCGCCACTCCAACGTAATCTAACCTAAGGCATTATGTGATCGGAAATTTTTTACTATATTTTTTGGTTATACATAATTGAATGAGACTCACAAAGTATCTGGTCACACTAAAGTTAGTAATACAGTTATACGAACAGAAATCTACTGTAGAAGTACCTATAATCTATAATTAAGATTATGATTATTGGTTGGACAATGTCCGAAAAATATCTTCTTAAGAGCCATATAATTTGCATCTTATTCATTATTTTACCTACAGGTAAAAGCCCATTTTTCACATATTTCCGTGGTATCCGAACGGGTTATTATTTGAGCTCAAGATTATGATTCCAACCTAACCCTACGATATGTGTTCTCTACACACAAACTTTCAATTACATCTATTAATTGTTTAACAAATCCTATTATATACTAATTCATTTTGTAATTATCTTTTACAGCTGTACTGTAGATCCTTATCTCTTTGAAAACTTCAATACAATTGATGGTGACGTTTTGAATGCTAAATTTAAAGCTTTCAAATTTCCGGATTCCTCATATGTACAATTCCGTGCCACAGTGAATGTATGTTTGGATAAATGTTTGGGAACACAATGTTCCAATGGGCAAATTGGTTATGGCCGCAGAAGACGTGATACTTCTGAAGCTCTGAGCGCCACAACGCTTATGGACACAAATAAAGTGTATGAAATCTCTTTGGCTACATTTATAAAAATAAACGATATCGAAGGCGTTAACAGAAGTGAGTATACATATTATATAGCAAAATATAGTAATCGAATTAACTTTAAATTATAGATGAAGTACTCCAGTTGGAAGAGAAGTTACGTGAACTGAAATTAGCAAATCAGCGCTTAGCACGCAACAGTCGCGGCAATTTCGTTGAAAGTTTTAAAGGCGTCGAGCAAGCACCAATGTCAGTTCCTGCATTCGTTGTTGATGAAAAAGAATTAAATCCGGCAAATACTGGAACACAAATAATGGGCTTCAATGCCTACTTCGTCTTCATACTGCCAGTTACCGTTTTACTTTGTAAACTGTTGTAAATATTTCTGAATAAACAAATTATATATTCAGCTTAAACATATAAAGATACTTACACTTTAAGGAAAACCCGTGTAAATCTCAATAATATTTGAAACAATAATTTTATCAGGTTATTTTAAGAGATCTTATTCAAATCAGATATATTCTTAAAAATTAAATATATATACTAAAACTGCCATTTTAAAATATTTAAATATTAAATTTAACTTTATTAATAAAAAAAAGTATTTTTTGTATTAACAAAGACATTTGTATAATATTAGTAACTAAGCATGGCAGCTAATAATTACTTTAATTATTCCTCTTAATATTAGTGTTAAAAGAAAATATGAATTGTAGTAATATTAATTATATAGAAATATATATTTGTATAATCATAATATTTTACTCAAAATTGAGGATTCTAAAGAACCTTGAATTGAATAAAAAAGAAATAATATAACATTTTCTAACATGTAAGCATTACTAGTCTTCTAAGTTTAACAGCTAAGTTATATTCCATCGATATTAATGACAATAATAATATAATTAAAAAAAAAAAAAACAAAAATAAAATAAATAAGTAAATACAGCCTAAAAAGTTTCTTATTACGATT